AGGCAGGTAATTCTGTCAGCATAAGGGTCTTTTTTTACAATTCAAGTAGGAAGAAAACTGAGAGAAATTTTGAAAATTCAAATAATTTCTTGGGAAATGATGGATAAACCATCAACAAATTACAGTATTTCTCCACTAGTCTTGAATATAAGCATTACACTTTGATTTTTACATCTCAATGCCTACAGTTCTTCTGCCTGGACCTTTAAAAATTCTCTTTACACAAAAAATAATGCACTTTAATCGGATTTTCTTCATACAGTTGAACGTCAACAACTTGAACCTCCATAAGTCAAATCACTGCTTACATGTCAATTCTTTAAAAGTCCCTGTCTCAATTCCCTTAGAAGCAATGCATTAAAAACCTCCCAATCAAGGCTTTTCTCATCGAACCTCGCTCAAGAACTCAAATTTACATGTATTTAGAACTTTTTGGCTATTATTTTATTGACACAGGTCAGAGAAACAAAATTGAAAGTAAACTTGATGTATTTTGAAGGAAATGAAAGACTAATTGGGGAAATGAACCCTTGCCTCCAAGTTCAGCATCCTGTCAACTCATCATTTAAAAAGCAATTCAAGGCCTATATAGATATAGAACATCACCAATCACTGAAATTTTCTGAAATCCTCTTTCCCCCACCCCCCAAAAGAATGCTTGTTTCCCTAATTCAAAAACCTCCCTTACTCGAATGTTTTAGCTGGTCCCCGGAAGTTCGATTTTTAGATGTTCAATAATACTGTATAGGAAAAGAATGCAAAATTTAAATAATGTTATCTTTTTTTTTTTAAACCTTGGCGTCCTTCTCGCGACAACAGACAATGTTGAACGGCCTGCATCGGGGTCTCAGTCTCGGCCAGGGCCCGACACAAATTCTTCCTCAGCTCTTCCAAAAGACCCGTTTCCGCAGCCAGTTTATTGCTTTCTGCCTGGAGCTCTTCTTTCCAGAACTTGATGTTTGTCGTGAATGCGTTCCCCGAGCCGTCTGCCAGTCTCGTCTTGGGCCCTTCTGGCCAGCTCTTCGGTTTCCCTGATGAGTCTTCGGGCTTCCGCACGCATCGACTCGGCTTCTGCTCGCGTGTTGTCGGAGAGATTGAAGTGCTGGAGATTGGAGGCCAGCCATTCTTGGTCGGTGTGCCTGGAATATATATATATATATATATATATACAGTAAAATCTCGTTACAACAAACTTGTGGGGAGTTCAGAAAAAGTTTGTTGTAACAAACAATTTTTTATAATGAGATTCTGAAAATTATTGACTCAATTGAAGATTTTCTTCAAATTAGACCTGCATATATTCAACATCTTCCTTTTGAGGCCTTTTCAGATGTTATTCAATGGTTATAAAAATGTTGATCTTCAAAAAGAAATTTAATTGTTAATCAAAAAACAGTTACTCTGAATAACAGGTATATACTAGCACACTTTCTTGACTAGGTTTTTTGTTGAGCAATTCATGCTAAGATTTGTAAGGGTGAATGATCCAAAATTGCTGACAAACTTTACTTCACTAGCATTTCTCAAGCATACAAACCCTTTTTAAAATGAGTATTGCTGGGCTCATTTTTTCCATCTAACTGACCCCCCCCCCCCCTCTCACCATCATTCCTAAAATAAGAATAGTTTTTGAAAGAGGATTTTCAGGTGAACTTTGAATAATTTTTGTACTTGATTCCACCTTATGTCCCAAGAACCATTTACCAGTCACATTTGAAATGGGAAATGTGAGACCGTGCCTGCCCCCATTGTGGATTTTTCATTGAGAAATCATAGAAAGTTCCTCAAAAACGTTTCTTATACTGGAATTGGCAGTTTGTTATTGTAATGAAATTTTTATAACATGTACCCTATAGGATTTCTGCTGGGACTTATTGAAAAAAAGTTTGTTATACTGAAAAATTTGTTGTAATGGTATTTGTTGTAACAAGATTTTACTGTATACAGTACAGTATGAGAGGGGTTACAAGGTTCCGCGCGGATCAGCTCCTTAATGCCTTGAATAAAAGCAATGAATAGAAAAAAATTCAAATTTAAAATTCGAGGAACACACTGGCTGCAAAAGTTCTATTCGCAAGGAAAATAAAGTTTACAGTTGAATTCTTGAAAGAAATAAAAATCTTGAAAATACATATCTTTGCTGACAAGCAAAGGTGCAATTAACCTTAGTCTTTCACAAATCACCCCTTTCAACCAGCAGGAATTTTTTACGCTCCAAGTTGTAAAAATTACCAAGAAGAAAAACCCTGAGCTGCATTTTTGTCCCTCAACAGTCCAATTAATGATAAATTTCCATCATTAATTCGATTTTTTAATACCTCTCAAATTAGTTACATTACATTGCAGAATTGTAATGAGCTGGTGAATTAACTGACCTCACAACAGGTGCAGTCGACGTTGGCATGAGTGAAATTCGTGGCATGTAGTTGGAGTAGTCGGTGGCATACGTGCTTCTCGGACTTTCTCGATGAGTTATCAAATACGGACTCTTGACACTGTAAGAAAAAGGAGAATCAGGTCATATTTCAGTCAAAGTTGAAAATCGAAAATTTTCACGTGATATACATAAAACCTCACAAAAACAAAATCGCAGACAAACTTGTAACTACATATGTAAGACATCCAATTCAATTCGGAATAATATACATACATGCTGCTCGGAATTCTATTCCAGGAAAAGGGGGAAAAAACTTGCTCAAATATAGCAATTAATGCAATTTTTATGGTTTAAAATTTGTAATTGTTGTACATAAATTCATAATTGTGGTAAATTTGAAATTTTCCTGGATTTTCAACCAATGTAAAATTTTAAAGTCTGTAAATGCGTAATTTGTGTAAATTGTGAGTACAGTACTGTAATTTAAATGTTTACCCATTGAATTTTTGTAAAATTGCCATTTATATATAAATATTTTTAATTGGCATTTTTGTACAAGTGGAATTTTCTTAAAATTCTTGTGATTCTCGTAGAATTTTTATTTTCCGTAAAATTTCAAATGTTTGTCCTTATCTCAATTTTTTTCAAATTATTTCAATTTTCTCCACTAAAAAAATTTTCAACTTTTTTAATTTTGTAAATTTTTGTACATTTTATCATTTTCCAACATTTTCAATTTTTGTAAATTCGCAATTTTAGACTCACAGGCGGTCGGGTTCCATTTGGTTCCCATTGCATTCCGTCCAAAGCGGTGCAGGTGCGAACTGGATTTTGCGTCGGTTGGCAGATTGGAGAGCGCTCATTTTTATTTCGCAGCTCACTCCTGAAACAAATGAATGAAAAATGTAGATTCAAAAAAAAAAAATTGTAGATCGACGAACACTCATATATTTATTTTAATCTTCGCTGTTAGTTACGGTAACAAAAATTAGAAATTTATATGAATAACACTGAAAAGACACTTGGTTCATCCAACACGAGACATTCATCAATTTCTGATAAAACACTACTTTTTTGTCACGAAATTTTATTTTAGCATCCCCTCAACTCAGGATTGTTTTTCACGATTGAAATACAGTATGAAAAACACTGGTGCGAATAAATCTTTCGTAGAATGGGACTCTCACATACAAGCACATGACATTTCATTCACAAGATTTTTTTTTAAATTCCAACACGCACGAAACGCAAGGAACCAACAAAATACGACCTAGTTTTAAATCTTCCATTTCTATAAATTGCATAAATGATTTTTGTCTTCGTGGCACATTACTCTCTTTCGAAAATCCCGATCCTCCACACGCTGAATAAATCGAAACCACAGTGCAGAAAACGCACATCTTTATTTTTTAGGAAATTATTGTGCACGAGTCAAAATCCGTATTGTAAATACCAGGGAACATTTCGCGCAGGAGACACGGCATTGACAAAACTTGTAATAAAAGAAGAAAAAAAACTATCCTCATTGACAGAAGGATTTTCGCGAGCAAATGGAAAAAGCAGCTGATGACGATGACGACGGCGCTGAGAGTGAACAAAGCCATAATAATAAAATAGCAAGGGACTACTGTATATGTAACAGTGATGTATATATTTTTTGCGGGCATAAACCCCCCTCCCAAAAACTGAAGCGTCTCGTGTCCTCCCTCCCAGCGAACATAGTACATAATGATAACATGACCATGACTGAAGAGTTTGTTCAATGGCTGCATTGCTGGTCTGGTCTCTCAGTAGGATTTCCCCATTCCTTTATAGATACACAGCTTATCCACATGAAACGGAGAAGTATATATCATGCACACCTGTCCTTATACTTGTACATGGGAGAAATGATGAATAGGCTGTGAAATAATACGACGCACCAGAAAATATTTAACGGCAGACGAGTTCGGTTTCGGGATTTCTAACAAGGGTGAATGAAAAACTTCCACTAACACAAAAAGTAACGCAGTTGATGCTTGATTTAACTCGAACCTGAGCTGAATGCCTCTATATATGTCGAATTTTTTAAAAATTCCTTCCTGAGTTTCCTTGGAAACAATGCATTAAAATTAGAAGTATCTCTAACTCGAAGACTCCCTTCTAAGCTTCATTGCTAGAATTTTCTGAAGGCCTTTCGGCTATTATTTTACTGACACAGAAAAGAGCGAAGAAATTAACACATAAAGTAACTTGATGCGTTATTTTAAAAGGAAGTGAAAGACGAATTGGGCAAATGAACCCTTCCTCAAGTTCAGCGCCACGTCAACTCATACAAGAGGCGATTTACGGCACGGAATATCACCAGTTACGATTTCCTTCAATTTATTCTTTCTTTCCAGCATAAACAGAAATACTTGTTTTCCCCATAATGCAAAAACATCCCTAACTCGAATTCCCGGCGGTTCCCTTGAAGTTCGACTTGAAGAGGTTCGACTGCTTACAATGATTTATGCCGATTGTGATTTCACGTGTACAAATGATTTTCCTCAAAGGGAAACCTAGGATCAATGCGTTGTTATGATCAAATCGCTTATATCGCGACATTAATCTCTCATCTCAGCAGTAAAAAGTTTAAATTGTTGTGCAGCATAGTTCGCATGAAAAGACGTTACGGAAAACACATTTCTCAAAAATAGAGGAGGAATGGTTTCCATCACACAATGTGGACGTGAAGTCTTCTTGTGAAACTCACCGAATTAATCCCACGACCTTCTGATCTCAGCGAGAAATATATGTTTGGCACTCGGAACAACTCCGTTGTACTTGCCACGAATTTGATCTTCAAAAGGTTAGAAAAAAGCAAACACTTCGATACACAAAGCAAACGCAACTCAGTTCCACAAAGCACAGATACAGAGGTGCAAAAGTGGGTCCTCCATCAGGGTTTCTTAAGAAAAACACTCGACGGGATTAAGCACTGGAACTAAATGGAAACGGTTTCATGAGCATCTCGAACTTCATGGCCAATACAGCACAACGGCGTTAGTGAGGATAGAACACAGCTTTCACGGTAAAATAAATTGAAGAAATCGACGCATTGTTACACAGAGAATAACTATTTCAATACAGATGATTCATAGAACGTTGCAGGAGTCATCCGAGTCTTTTCTAAGGACTTGAACTTGTCGCGAGTTGCACCGCGGCACGTGAGTAATCGATATACTGTACACAGCAGATAATCATCGCGAGGGGCGCGGGTTATTGAAGTGCTGTCCAGAATCATGGCCTCATAAATTGTAGAGCTCTTCTGGAAAAAGGTAGAGCCCTCGTCTCCAACAGACTCCAATACAATAACGTAAGCACAGTAATTTTTAGTCAGTAAACTGAATAAATTGCATGTCACTGTAACCAAGAAATGTGAAAATTTCAAAACTGAATAGGATAGAGCATTGGTTCCAGAGCCTCAAGCAGCCCCTCACTTTAAAAAATGGGTAGATGCATGTATGATGCATTCTATATAGATCCCTTTCAAAGTGCTGTTCATAAATTCTTGAATAAAATATACTTGTATGATTAACATAATCAGTACTGTACGTAATACTTGTGTACCAAACAAAAAATCAAACAAAAGGAAAACAATTCTCAAAACTCAAAAAAGGTTTTCACCAATTTCAAATGTTTATTATGGCTGGCGCAGCCATATTTCATACATAGTAGTGTACCGCATTTATATATATAGTACTGTATATATAAACAGGAAAGAACAAATACAGTAGAATCTCAAAAATAAAGATAAGATAAAAAATAAGAGCATAAAAGATAAGCCCACGCAGCGATCAAATTTTTTTGTGGATCCCCCAACACACTTGATCATCTGAGATGTTATTCCTACAAATTCTCCACTGAAATTCGGAGTATATAGAACAAAAGAATCCGTTGAGTAATTCATCAGGTGACTTTTTGGAAAATTCTTTATACAAACGCATGAGTCTTCCTTCCGATATACTGTATGGCGTATTATGCATGTATGAGTGAACCCAGAAAATTCAGTGACAAAGCCCCTCATATGTATACTGTATATAGAGATAAGGATTGCTTTATCTATATGGAGAAAGAAAGCGGATGAAAAGCTTTTCCAAATATTGCACAGTTAGCATTTGAACACTGTCCACAGAGGCCGCATTTTAAAAGGTCATTTCAATACAATGAAGAGTATTAAACGCAACAACGGCTTGCAAAATAATACGCCAAGCCATTTTTGCAGTGGATCTTGTGAATTTGTGAATGAAGGAGCACAGGTATGTGGCAATTTGGTGTAATAATAGACAGGTGAAATTCTATCATATAGCAAAAACCATTACAGTACTTCAAATTTTACAGCAATTTCATAAAATTGGTCATAAGTCCCATATAGAACACAATTATGACAGGCACAATTACAGTGTTTAAAAAGTATTTTTCCAATTGATAATCCTCTATTCCTCCCTAAACAAGTCAAACCCCTTCCTAAATTAAATTCCCAGTGACCACTGACCTCACATTTTTTCACATATCCCCCTCTGAATTGTTTTGAAAATTTCTCACATGTGGTTTTTAAAAGTTTATGATCAGACTAATGCTGGAATGAGTATTTTATATTGGTGACGGTTTTAATTGAATAATTTGTTGAATTTTGATGACCATTTTTTTTTATCCTGATGGTGGGAAACTTATTTTGGTTGAAAATGCTTTGGCAAAGTCAGAAAAACACTCATTAAAGTAATGAATGTCTGTTTATACAGAAAGAATCTAACATTTTTTCCATCAGCTTGAAATGGAAAAATTCTGAATTAAAGTAAAAGTAATCCTCTGAATTAAAGTAAACTGTAGATAACTTGTTATATTTTCAAGCTCATGTGTATTTGTTGTATTGCGATTTTACCTGTATTTATTGACGCACAATATATGTCTATGTACATGCTGTACATATATTTATACAAAATCACAGCAGATTTTTTATGTTCTGTCTAGATTTGTGGATATCATTTTCCTCCACTTGTGATCATCATTGCCACAACTGCTGGATTGTTGTTGACCTTCACTGGGTTGATGTCCACCATTGCCTTTGATTTCAGGGTTCATGCCTGCTTGGGTGCCATTTTCCTATCTTTTGGAGGTTAGTTCACATTTCCACACACTTACAGCCATATATACTCTACAAGTATTTCTTTTTGGTCTTTAATTCCTGGCCCAGTTGAACATCCTCAATTCAAATTTCCAGTTGACTCATCCAGAACAATCAATTTTAAACCTCCCCAACTGAATAATTTTTGGCTCTGATGTTATACTGGACTGTATCTCCATTGGTAGGATATTCCAAGACACTCCATGATTCATGGTGTTATTCATTCTGGGTTAAGTTTCAGAATACCTGTTCCAGAAAGCAAACACAAATTACTATTATCAATTTTTCCTACCAGAAATTAGTCAAGTTCACAAGAAATGCAATGAAGGTAAGTAAACTTTTTTGTTATAGTTTAAGCTATGCATTTTAGGCAACTCAAAAACCTTTGAATATATGCAAATATTTAGGAGGTCCCTTGATTTTAATTTGCCTATGGTAGAAGTTCAACTACATTATATTGGTTTTACAGCAGAAGCTCATTACAACAAATCTCTTGATAAACAATTTAATGATTACAAGAAGTTTTTCTTTGCCATTGTCCATCACATAGCTGCAATGCCTTTTTCATTTTAACCAATTTTTTTTTCACAAACAACGCTTTTTCAAGGTCCCAAATACAGTAATTCGTTGTAACGAGATTCCCTACTTTAGAAACATTATAATACGTGTTCACACACTTCACAGTGACAACTCTACTTTTCGGAACTTACTGCTGCTATTTGGCCCGTCAAAAGTATGACATCCGGGATGACGTTGATGAGCTCCACGATTCGTTAAGCGACCAGCACAACTTCGACGCATGAATCTCAAAATGCCTTATTTCGTCAATTTAACTAGTGTGTATATATGAGTCAGAAAAAAATTGCGCGCGTTTGTCAAGTACAGTATGTTGTTTGCGCAAACCGTCATCATTTGTGTACTTTGTGAAGAAATTTGAGCCATGACAGGAAAATAAAATGACATCATCATGGAAGATACCAGTTTTTCAATAAAATTTCTCATGTGGATAATGTCACTGCGGATGCCTGTGGAATCTGTAATCCAATGTTCAACAGGATGTTCTTTCCCGCCCCCCCCCCCTTTTTTTAAAACAAGCTGGAGGTGCCCAGCTGCAAAGGTGTATAAAAATTCTTTTAAATTTCAAATTTGATTTTATAGAGACCTGATGAAGAATTCAAAGGAACACAAAAAATCCTTGTGGTAAAGAAAACTTTGTTCCAGACAAAGAACCTCTATAACATGGGGATTGTATTTTGGAACAAACAAAAAACTCTTTATGCAGAGAAAATTGCTGTAGACAAGTGTTCCACAATCCATCTTCTTTGCTTAATTTTTGTATTACAAATTCAGCTCTGAAGACTTTTGTCAGCATGCAAAATTTATAGAAGGTAGTAATGAAGTGTGTTATCCTTATCCAAAATTTTGGAAACACAAATGCAGTTGAATACTTGTCATAAAAAAAATGAACACTGGTTTCTTCTCAACACTTCAGAAATTTTTTCACCAGCAAAAAATATAATTTCAAGTTTTCAATTGGAGAAGCCTTTCTTGAAGCCCAGCTTTCTATTTTTAAGAATACATTCCTTTGTATTGCGGCTTCCTTGGTTCTTGGATTACTTTTTGTAATACAGTTGACCCTCTGTAAGTCAAATTTCTAGGGACCAGGAAAAAAATTTGACTTGGGGAGGTTTTGATTTTTGGAGGTTTCCAGTTGAAGAAACAAACACTTTTGTTGTGGGGAGAAGAGAAAAAAGTGCGGGAAAATCATAAATGAGGTTATTCTGGGCCTAAACTTGCTCTTTGATGAGTTTACACCATGCTGAACTTGGAGGCAGGGGTTCATTTGCTGTATTTGTCTTTCCCTCCCCTTCAAGATGCATTGAATTTTTTTTTTTAAATAATTTTCTCTTTCATATTTCAAGGGAATAATAACCAGAAGGCCATAGAAAATTTGATTTACAGAGGTTTTAGAGAAAAAGACTTTGAGTTAGGGAGGTTTTTAATACATTGTTTCTAAGGGAATTCAGACAAGGACTTGAAAAAAATTCAACTTGAGGAATTTGACTTAGGGAGGTTTGACTTATCAAGGTTCACCTGTACTGAACAAGTTTAGTTTCAAGGACTTAATGGTAGATATTAAAAGAAATTTATGTCGGTCAACAAAAATGGTATGGAACTTTACTATTCCACAATATATTTTATTTAAATTTGCCAGTCTGCAAGGCCAAAAAGGTTGGGGAACACTGCTGTAGAGTACAAGATTATTTTAAAGGAAGTCCACCAGTAAATAATTATTTGCATCCATCATCACGTACTCACCTCGATCGCGTAATGAAGCTTCCTCCTCTCTGACTTCAGTGATTCCGCTTACATTTCTTATTTTCCAGCAAAACACTCAATCCGGGTTGAACATCGAACCAACAACAACAACAAAAACCACCGATAAACTTCACAGAAAATCAGCACTCACGTCGCAAAAAAAAAAAGAGAAAAAGATCAAATCAGACGAACGAAAAATAAGCAGCACAGAAAAAGCGTGATCTCAACCACGCATCCTCAAATATAGGGTTTCTTTCCTTTCCTGCTCCACAACAAGAATCCGATACTATATACCAAGGAACATTTTCCCACAAATTAAATTAAAAAAACACATGGACAAACGAACAAAAAAAAAATCCCGATTCACAATCCATCAATCATCACCACCGCTGCAATCCAAGTAAATTTCAGGAGAACACGGGGGAGGGAATGCTAGCAAGAAAAAAAAAAAATCGACGATTTTCGCAGCGGAAGCGAGACGTTAATTTCTTCTTCGTTTTTTTATCACAGAACAAAAACTTTTCTCCACAAAATGACACGGGATTATTTTTAAAACACAACAGGAATGCGCAGCTACATTTCGACTTTCCCTCAAAATGCCGCCTCGGGCACAAAAAACAAAAAATCCATAAAGCGACATCGAGCTTCTCTGTCTCTCTCTAAGCATACAGAGTGTCCAGAAAATTACCGTCGATATGGAAAAAAAGGGTTATCAAACGCATTTCAAATCTTGGGATGATATGTATGCAAAAGTGCATCGAAATTGGTTGTTAATTACATGCAGAACTTTTTTATATATAGAAAATAACAGCAAATGCCAAATACCGCGAACTCTCCACAGGAACAACCATTACAATCCAACAGATTTTCTCAAGACTGGGATTACCTTCTAAAAAGCGCATCTAAAAAAAAATACCACGACAATAGATTTGACAAACTAATCTAATTCAAAAAAACCTACTTCTGTTCTTCCTTCTTTGTTCTTCTTCCACTAATACAAATAACCCCAAAATCGCGTTGAATCGGTATATAAATTCGAAATGCCATTCTGTAACTACCAGTGACATCTACTCACACTAAAACCGACTAGTCATTGATGAAATATAGGTAGACAATCCGCACGAGTTCCCAAATTATTCCACAACACCCGGCAACTTTCTGGACACTCTCAACTTATTAATCTCTCTCTCTTGGGACATATCACAAGGGCTGCTCAGAAAATTCGGGAACTAAAAAGCAGGCAAGGGGAGGGAATACGTTTATTGCTACTCCCTCCTTCTGAACAGCCCTCGAAAAAAAAAATTCATAATTAAGAAAAAAAGAAGATTTTCCAAGAAAAAAGGGGTCAACTCTCAAGGGCCAGATCCGTGTTTCTGTCGGTTGACCTTCGCATGCACAGACTCGTCGGTCGTCGTCGTCTCGTCATCATTGTCGACGCAGGGATCGAGTCCTTTGTCGCAAATCATGCGCACAATCAGGTCTTCCAGGTCCGCGTGGTTGGAGCCGCCACTCGGGGAAAACTGGCGCCTGGCCTCGAGTTCTTCAGCTTCCACGTCTTCGAGAATCTGGCCGTCTCCGTGGTCGTCGATGAAACTGACGTTCTCGTCGAACCGCACCCGTTCTTCCAGGCTGCCGGAATCTAAGCTCAACTGCGGAAAAAGAAGATACACCCTCAACATATGTTCATTCTACACGGTAATAGTGACGGAAAATTGTTGGACGAATCTTCAAATGATCATTCAAAGGCTAACGAAGCATCGGAACTGCATTTTCCTTCGTATTGCTAAAAAAAGCGCCATTTTTAGCGAGAGGTTCTCACAAGACAGGAAACTGGTTCAATATTTCATTCGTTTCTTCAGTTAATCCTGTCCCGAATAAAATCGGCAAAATTTTTTCACACGCTAATCAAATCTACTGTATATGAAAATGCGTACAACAATGATGATGCTTCATCTTATTTAGAACAAATAGTTCCTAGGGAATTCGTAGAATTTTCAAGAAATGTCACAACACACGATGAATTTAAAAAATGATGTCGAAAGTTTTTCGCAACAGAATGCCATCACATAAACAGCATCTTTTCTTCGGAAAAATCTTCCAAAAATTCTTGCTCTTACCCGCCAGCATAACAATAGGGCTATGAATATATTTCACCCCATTGCAATTTAAAAGCGGGTTTTCTAATATTTAAAAGAAAAAGTAATAAAAGAAACGCCAGCCACTGACTTGTCTATCGAGAAACCCTTTCCTCGCGGACCCGCGGGTCACGGAACGGCGTCCAAAGAATATTTCGTCGCCGGTTGAGAAGGACGACACGGGCGACACTGAAGCGTTGGTTCCATGGGCGCCGCCGTGCGGGCCAGTGGCGTCCACGCTCTTCAGAGACACAGCTTCGCCGTGATGGCCCTGCTCGCTGCTCAACTGAAACAAAGCAACAAATTAAAATCGCAGAAATATATTCTTCGAACTCCAAGCATCAAAACGTGCAAGTTCAAATCATTCTTCGCACATTTTCTAGGATTTCATAAATATGAATTATTCATATGGAAGTACTGTGCAGTACAGTATATTGAATTCACTCAAGAATACAAGATCAAAATCAAAGTTCTTCTAATTTTTTTAGAAATTCCCACCACAAAGAAACGAACAGTTCCCCTCTCCTGAGAACTCGAGTAAATGTGGGACATTTTCTCAATTCGAAGTTATCCTTGACAAAGCTCGCATTTGACCAATTCAGGTTTGCGAATTTTGAAACTCAAGTCGAGATTCCCCTTCCAAGAAACCTCGTCGTTTAATTTCGATTCCTCAGTCGACTTGACTTCATAAGGAATTTCGTGTGACATGAAAAACTTATCCTCGCAAAAAAAAAAAAAAAAACTTCGTCGGGCAAAATTTCAGTACTGTTCAGTACTTGATTCTGCTTCACAAACTTCGCACAAAAGGAACAATACACTTTCGAAAATTCGGAACCCAGACAGAATTTCCAAGCGTAAATTCGCGCAATACTCGATCACGTCTGGACTTTCACCATGTCCGAAAAATATCAAATACTCTCATTCAAAAACGAATTATTCTTCTAGAGAAAACATTCGTAAAATGCCGAGACGTAAACGTACAAAAAGGAAATCGTTGGGTCCTTCTACAATGAATTCGGAGAAGTAATAACAAATGAAACGTGGGAAGTCCACGAAGTAATTACCTTTTTCCAACCGATACATGCACATGAAATTCTCGAAGAAGTAAAGTAAACCAATTTTCAACGCGATCACGAGTGTAAAATGAAATCGTTGGAGAACATAAAATAATCTCACGGAAACAGACTTTTAAAATAACAGACTGTTTATGGGAACAGTCCGTTCCCATCAGGTCCGTTAACCGGGGAAGCAGGTTTCATCATTCATTTCTTTTTACCTCGCAAAACGAACAATAAAATCCGATTAGGTTTCCCATTGTTCTCGGACTTCTCGCAATGAATGCCGAAAGAACATAGAATGAATTTTAAAACAAAAACAAAAAATCCTCGCAAGTAATTCTTGCAATTAAATGTAACAACTCCCGGCTCAGTTCACACTACACTACAGTACTTCTCCACGGTCACCGGAAATAAATCATAATTTCAATACCGAAAAAAAACTCAAGTAAAATGCCTCCGCGATGATGATCAAATCATGACTGGAAATATTTCCAGGGACAGTAATCAAAGAATGCGATCCATTTTCATCACAGTATGACTCCAACAGTCTCCCCACTTGAACTTCAGTACTACTCAGCGTTCAGTTCTCTAGAAAGTACTCTGTGATTGAACAGATACTCTTGAAAACGTTCTCCTTTCCTTTTGGTACACGGTAGGTTATCTTAGGTGATTTCATTTGAGATTTGAATAATCTAAGAGTACTCGAATGATGATACTTCGGGATGTTTCTTGAGTCAGTCATAGGATCTACCCCGAAACACACTTTAATTTTATTTTCCACAGATGTCGCCTAAATTGGATCAGGTTTCCTCTTTTCACAGGTAGGAGATGCAGTTTGGCCAGCATAAAAAATCACTTTCATAGTGTGATAGAAAGGCGTCAAGATTAAAAAGCAGATGAATGTGATACAAAATATATCAGATCAACAATTAATGCAGCAAATCCACAAAGGTAAAGTTACCCGTATTCACTCAAGTACCATGCACACCTTTTTTCAAAGTTGAGAGGAAAAAAAAGGGTGTGCACACCTTTACTTCAAAAGTAAGAGGAAAAAAAGAAGGGTGTGAATCACACATGGGGGAAACATTTTCAAAAAATGTTAGAATTTCAAGTCTGCGTCACACTTCGATATCATGGGACATTTTCGACAGGAACTTCAAAACAAATCAAAACCATAAAAAATTAAATGTATTCAAGTTTAACTTATGTCCAAAATTGAATTCCGGTGAAGATAATTTTTCAAATATTTCACTTTTTCAGTTGCTAAAAACAGGCTGAGCATCTTACTCAGGGTTAGTATTTAATAAAAAATGTAGGGAGAAAAATTGGGGTGCGTGAATTGAACAAAGACTTGCGGTATTCCAGTAAAAACAGTAAATTCCACAGCAAAAATAATAATTTCACGACACAGAAATCAATCTTCAGCCTTTCTGACTTCAATGCCTGACCACCTTCAAATCTCTTGCCTTTCCGTTGACATTTCACTTGAATTTTTTCGAGTTTCACGAGGTGAGGAGATACACAAAGGAGTAAGTATTGAAAGTGTGAATGAATGTGATACGAAATATTTCGGATCAGCAGTCAAGGCGGAAAAATTCCAAAAAGCAAAGTTGAATGCTGAAGCAGAAAAACAATATCACAGAAATAATTTCAAGCGACATGCATTGCATTTTTCTCGGATTCAGCAGACGAGAAAAAAATCGATTTTTTGTACTCCAAATTACGTACGTTCTTTCCCCTCTCACATCCCTTGTAAGAGAGACATAACACACAGAAACAAATGAAGCGAAAAAAGATGGGAGTAAAGATTTAAAACGTCTTTGAAATGCTGTCAATGTGACTCCGGATGGCTTGGCACAGCAGACTCACTCTGTAGGACAGGACGGAGCCGGCCAGGGCCACGTTGCTGGCCCGGTCGTCGGAAACGGCCACGACTCCCGACCTCGCGTCCGAGTGCCTGTCCGAGGAAATCATGCTCACGACGGCCGACACGCTTTCGCTGCTCACCGAGTTCCGTTTGCCCACGTGGCTCGTCACGTCCGCCAACACTTCCATCCTTCCAATCAATCAACCCCACGAGTCAGTCATTCTCACCCCACTTTTCAAAAAAATAAAAATAAATAAAAAAGGGGCTACGAAATTCGAAGGGGGAGAAAGTTAAGCATAAAAATTATTTCTTCAGTCGATCTAATTCAGGGGAGCAAATAAATGAATAAATCGAGTTATGCAGGTTTCGAGTTAAAAAAGAAACCCTTTTTTATTTTAATCTTACTGAATTTCCTTTCGGCGTCAACGATAAAAAAAAATTGAGAAATAATACTTATCGCCCGAATTTCAGCTGCGATCAACGGAAATTCTTGGCCAACTAGGCCAAGAATCACAAAAACTTGCTTCGAGACTTGATTTCACTTCTAACGTATGGTTCAGGCAAAGAAACTTGTACAGTATTAAATAAAATTCATTTTGAGGTTTTAGCACCGGCAAAATTTCCGTACAATTCGCGCATGAATCCACGAAAAAAAGAACCCGTCGGAAAAAAAAGTGAATCACCTTTGTCCCCTCGAAGCACTGGACGCAATCGACCCGGCCAATGCCGTCAACGACGCCGTCTCGTCATGCCTGTCCACCGTGTGACAACTGGATCCGTCGCCCAACGACAGCGTCATCGACATGCCCACGACGCTCGAGCCCTCAGCCATCATTTCATTCGCACCCGACGGCAACCGACCATCCGTGTCGTCCTCTTCTTCCGACTTTCTCCGAATCTCGTCTCCCATGGCGGCCAGTCGGCCGGAAATGCCGTCTTCCGCCTCGTCGAAGTCCAATCGGACGCCGGATGCGGAAGTGGAGATGCCGCAGACGCCGGATCGGCAGAGCGACACCGGAACGACGCCGTAGACGTACGCCAACAGCATGGGGACTCCGAAACCCACCGCGGCGCCGGCCAGTACCGGCGACACGAACACCTGTCCCAAAAAAAAAAAAACGGAACATCGTTTACCAACAATTTACAATGCAAATCTTCGAGGACCAGGAAAAAGTGTTAGCTTAACACGATTTATCCTAAAACATTATTTTTAAATTTTTCAATCAATTCAAATTTCACCTGGGAACAGGCTGAAAACCTCTTGTTTAAATCTGCGCTCAATAAATGCAATAAATCGAGTCTTCTTGGTCCCTTCAAATTCGACTTACAGAGATCCAACTGTAATTCCAAGACGTGCTTCGTTGCTAAAAATAACAAGTCACGATTCATGCGACTAAAAAAATACATAATAGAAGAATGGAAAGTTCTATGCTCAAGTACTTGAGGTGCGGACGTAATTGGTCCTTGGACCTTGTCCCTATGTTGAAATGTCAAATCACGTTTTCCGATTGAATTCAATGGGGACATTTTGAATCACTTCAAGTTTATGGCAACAAATCGGGAAAAATTCTTTTACAAATACTGTATAATGAATAAGTTTTTCTCGACTTTAAGATGCAGACAAAAACCACGCAGACGAAAAATACCTGTTTTGGAAAGGTATTCATTTTCTACACTGTGAAACGCACAGTTCATGAGAAACCCCTCGAATATAAGTGAATTTTTATCCGTAATAAATTTTGCATTTTTGTTCAAAGAAATAGCTTAAGTCGTTCAAACAATATCAGCATTTTTTTTAAACAGAAAATTTTTTTACTCTGAATATTAGGAGAAAACCAGCACTTTTTCTTGACCAAGTTTTTCTAAGCAATTCATGCAGAGATTTGTAAGGGCGGACGCTTCAAAAAAGCTTAAAATTTTAAAGCATCAGTAGGGTTTCAAAAAACCCCTTCCGGATTAGTTTTGCTGCCCCCCCCCCCCCCCCATCTTTCTTAACCCAGGGAAAAAATTGAAAGAGAGGGTGTTCATGTGAATTTCGTCCTTGATTCCACCTTGTGTCCCAAAAACCAGCCACAGTCACATTTTGAATGGGAAATTTGAGACTGTGCCTGCTTTCATTGGGGGTTTTTCATAAAGAAATCGCATATTTAAAAAAAAAAAATTTGTCAAGCTAGAATTGGAAATTTTGTTGTAACAAGGTTTTTAAAACATTGTACCCTGTAGAGTTTTTGCTGGGACTTCAAAAAAAGTTTGTTATGCTGAAAATTTTATTGTAAGAAGATTTCACTGTATACTTGACTGATGCGTCCATATTATTATTCAAACTAGTGCATTTTCAAAAATTTAGAGGCTATATTGAAGTACAGTACAATCATTCAAAACAACGCGCTGATTTTCTTGACAATGAACAACACGGTTTCATCCGAAGCAATCCTGTTCCACACACTTGATACCGTATATTAAAAAAAACCGACGCTGTTCCATCAAAAAAATAAGACACTTTTTCATAATCTGACAGAAAAAAAATCGTACGATTAAACCCAAAGAAGAAAAAAAAAAGCAGTGGAAAAGCAATTTACCGAAGCCACGACTCCTCCAAAGATGAGCATGTTCCGCTTGTAGCCAGAGGGGTATTCAGTGTTCCGGTAGATCCTACGACCCACCAACACAGGGATCCCAATCACGATGGCTGGAACTGCGATCCCAGCGATGAGAGCGATTCCCAAGGGAGCTCCAATCAACATCCCGAGTTGCCACATGATCTTCTTCTTCCGAGACCATGGCTTTTTACCCCAAAACGTGCAACCAGACGGGCTGAACACAAAAAAAGAAATAATTTCAATCAAGAATAGATTAAACCACGACAATTTAGGTTCTCCCAGAAAAAGAAAACTGTTACACAACCTTAAGCTCTCCCTCTTCAGCCATTGACTCATGCAGCTTGAAGTGCAATAAGGTTACCCCTTCCGAAACCACCGAAGAAAAGAAGTGCCTCATTGTTTTGTGTTTCGCGAACAGAAAGATTTTTGATGTAGGTATATATTAACGCAAATCGCAATGAATCACAAATATGCAAGCCGACCCTATTTTTCGAGCTGCTAAAATTTGAAAAAATTCTGGGTTTATATTCGCATGAATACAGGAATGTAATAATGAATGAATACAGTATTTTAAAACGATAATTATTTTTGTGGACCATGAAAATATTGAACAAACGATTTCACGATTCCACTTGTTCTGATGAATGTCACACTCGGGAGCAGCTGAAAGATTAATATTCAAAAACGGCGACTAGAGAACTCATGCTACACACAAATTTTTGCCTCGAATACCTCGTGAAGATGATTTCACCAAATAAATCAGAAGAACAGAAAATTCACCTTGGGATGAATCCAATGAAATCGAAATCGTAGATTTACCTTAGATAATGAAGGTCTGAGATTTGCTTCATGCACAGCCAGCAAAATTCGGTCGAGCATACAGAACAAACCATATGATTGCAGCTCCCATCTTCTTGCTTCATGATCAAAGACCTGCACACTGGGCAAGGCTTAATTTGTTCTTCTGTAGGAGTAGAAAAAAACGCGAATGATCAAGCGGTCACACCCTCTTCCATCCGGTAATTGATTGGCATTAATTTGAAAACTACTGTATTCATATGTGACCATTCTTACGAATCAAATAAATTTAGTAAACAACATTACCCCGATGTTAATGGAAATCGTCAGAATCAAGGCAGGGAGATAAATTTTCAACATTAAAAAAAATTTTTAGGGACCATCATGATTCCGAAAAGCATGTTTGTTATCACAGCAAGCTCTCACTGATTTTCTTGATGTTACTTACAAGTACTGATGTAATGAATTCAAATCATACATATCACGCCACAGAAAAAAGGACACATTTGAACCTTGAAAAATCGAACCTCACGAAGTCGAATACATCCCTATAACGAACTTTTTCAATTCCCCGTCGGACTTCCCTCAGGAACAATGCATTAAAAACCTCACCCTCATTCAAGAAGAAATTTAAGGATCAGAATATCACCAATTACAATTTCCTGTAATATTTACTTCGATTTCTTTTCCTGGTCTCTTGGATTTAGACTTGAGAGAGGTTTATCCGTACTCACTTTGAAATGGTATGTCATAAGAGAATGACAGTGACGAAGATCTAAATCGTGGCTCCCGTTCTGCCCTGGCAGCATCGCAGGTTTGATTCGGATGCCATTCAGCTTTACAATGGTAGCAAAACTGCATACCACATCCCGGTCGTTTGCACTTGAGCTTCGGGCACGAAGCACAACCAGCAGCAATCACGGCAAAGGAGCAGTCCGGAGCTGGACACCAGCGAGCATCTGGATCTCCAGCCAAGACCCTCCTCAGCATAAAATCCTCGTATTTGATCACCAACGGCTTAATCACTAATGCTTGAACATCTGAATCACACGAAAAACACAAGGACTAACAACTATTTCACGGCTGTCAGGAGAACGGCACACAATACAAAAAAGCACCCTCGGACCAGTTGGTTCTCGGGATCGAATTCAATATTCTCTTCATTTGCCTCAGAATGGCGAAGCTTGAAAATTTCCTATCGTCCTTTACACCAGAGTTTCGCTTACCTGAAGGATGCATGAACTCCGAACACTCGAAGCAGTGAACGTTCCCCTGGTGCTCGGTGATACTCATGATAACGTAGCGCGTCAAACACGTCTTGCATGCGACGTGATGACAACCAGTCAACGTGAGCAGCTTATCTGGTCTGCAATACGACAAACACATAGGACACTCTTGTCCACCCGGCACCTTCTCACTCTTCTGATCCCCACTCGACGAAGAAAACGACGCAGCGGACAAGGAATCGCACGCCATCGACGAAGCCCCGGCACCGTTTTGCCCCACGCTTCCGTATCGCATCTGACAATAGCTTTCTTCGAAACTCGTCTTCGATGCACTAGGTTTGGCTGAACTCTTCGACTGAGTTGACTTGGCCGCGGAACTTTTCCGCCGACGATTCAGTAGAGGACTGTACAAGAGACGCTGGAGAGTGAAACGAGAACGAATACCGCCTTTCTTCTTCGGAACTGTGGGGTTAGGAGGAGCTGCAGTGCCTTGAAAGACAACTGAGGGATCGAGAGACGACGATGCTGACATGTTTCCCGAGCCTGACGGCTTTGTAGCATCATCTTTCGATTTTCCCATGTTCGGAACTTTGATCATTCACAGTAAGCACTTAAAGCACACGAAAACATCCTACAGTAGTCCTGGACGAACGAGAGAATAAGAGGATAATTGCACAAAACAGTCACAGGTTAACCTGGCTCACAACAAAAGACACCGTCGAAAACTATATGTGACAAATTATCTCAATCAGCCGCTCCAGCGCGAATCTACCAGAAATCGTCACGGTAAAACCAGAAATGATTAAAACAGGTTCACAATAATGCACACCATAACATGCAAATAATTCCCATTCAACATTGAAATTAACCGGCCTTCGGCGACTGAATATCATATTTTCATAATCAGACCAGAGGAAACCGCACATCGATCCAAGCGCAGAAACCAGATATGATCCAGCCAAGATCATCGCGAATGAGAACATAATTCTTGAGAACAGAATACATAGATAACATGATTCACGCATTCGAGAACATTCATCACACTGGAACGTTATTCCAAGAAATTCAAGATCCACTCTTCCAGGAAGTTAGTGTTCCTGAAATAAGCCTGGTGTAGGAGCTGGGCACAATGAGTGCATACCAACTGGAACATCAACAAAACCGTGGGTGTTCCCTTATTCAACGATTTCCACAATTGACAAAGTTTGGTCAGGCCACCCACTTTAATACCAGTGAAATGGCAAAAACCGCCCACAACAGCTGAACATAATGTCATCGATAACTTTATTGCGTTCCCTTTTCATCCCCTTTCACCTAGCAGACGACGCTCCGAATAAAGTCAC